TAAGTGGTATGAGGAGTGGGTGGAGTGTAGTGTTCTGCAGGGTGAATAATTTGTTATTTTATCCTAAGGCAATAGGTTTCCACGGGATAGTTTTAATCAGGGAATTTTTAGCTTTTAAAGTCATGAGAGATTATTCCAATTTAAGCACACTAATGAATCTTTACATGACTCGTGCCTCCTGATATCATGCCACAGAAAGGACAGAGCATCACATATTCTTGCTAAAAGAATTGAACAGGAATCTAATTTCTCCTTACAGGAAATTTGGAGGTCAGAGGAACACTGCAAGGAAGCAGTTAGCTAAATACAGAATGTATAATATTCTGTGGGAAAAATAGCCTGTTGGTTCTTTTTTTTTTTTTTCAAAAAATAAATGAAACCAGGAGCAGTGGCTCACATCTGTCACCTTAGCACTTTGGGAGGCTGAGGCAGGAGAATCTCTTGAGCTCAGAAGTTCAACACCAGCCTGGGCGGCACAGTGAGAGCCAATGGAACATAATTGAAAGTCATGTATATTTCTATATCATCTCTTACAGTCAGGTTGGTTTCTCTAGACTTTGGTTTTTCTCACCTTTCTGTAAACTAAATCAAGGAAATGAGAGCGTCTGGCTTTAATCATGCAGAAAAAAAGATAATTTGCAAGTAGATGGGATAGAAGGAACTTGGCTCTACATCAACCTTACCAAGCAGAGCTGCCCCGTTAGCCTAGACAGGCTGAACTGTTAGAGGAGAAAGGAATAAGCCCCACGTTATTGAAGCCACCCACTTATAGTTTTGCCTTCCCTTTATTATAGCATCTCAGCCTTTACCTAATCAAATACCAGTAACTACCCTTAGCTAATTAGCACTTAAAGCCACCCATTTAATCAGATTCAACCGTTGACAGAGCCATGTTTATCCTCCCCAACAAATACTTTGTTTACATAAATCCTTCACAACAAATATTGGAAATGTAACTATGCCAATCACAAAAGGAGATTCAGGAAGTACAGGAGATCACCGCAAATGCAGGTACAATCTAGATTTAAGTTGAAGCTATCTTGACTCACCCAATGCACAATATTGTCCCTATGGCCAGTTTTTGTATCACATCGTTGTACACTGCTTTCAAGCATCTCGACAAAGAACATAATTTTTTCATGTTAAAAAAACAATCCGTCTTTACTTTTCTTGTGCAAAATATAAAGATTTAAGATATGGCTCGGTGCCTGTGGCTCAAGCGGCTAAGGC